CGGGCAAGGAGAAATTTTTAATTGCATTTAATTAACAATTATTTAACGAAAAACACTAAAACGAGAAATAAAATTAGCTGAAATTAAGACCGAAATTCCTCGACTGCGTGTGATCGGCAAATGAAAAGAGGATTGCTGTTTTTTGGATGATGATCATAGTTAGAAATCCGGTTTAAAAATTGTTTTCAATCGGATTTCTTTGCGTATTTTACGGTTTTCCATGATACTTTTGTAAACTGGGCCTATTCATTATTTCGCTTAGGTTTTCTGAAGTAATGAAAGTAAGGCTACTTAATATATACCAAGAACTTATTTCCAGAAAATAAATATATTTATGTATTCAAAATGTAAGTACCTAAAACTGTGAGTAGATTGTGATAACGCCTTCTAAAATCCACAATCATGATCAAACAAATCTATTCTGAGAGTTCTTGAAAACCGAAATAAAATGTTAATGCAATCGATGCATAATAAGCTAGAGGAACCTCTACATTTAAATAAATTGAGTGTCCCAATCCTTCAAAACGATTATGCTTCAAATACAATTTGTCTATCGGCATAATTTCCGAAGCACGACAGACTAACATTATTCTTATCGTTTATCCGGGGTCTTTGACAATCCATCCATCAAGCATGATTGGATCCACAGAACAACCCCGAATTGTGTTCCTCGGCACTCCATTTCCATCTCCCGATACACGCAATGCCAGCGCGGTAAAGTAGTGTTTTTAATAGCTAATTGAGCAAAATACTTTATGGAATGAAATTAATTATAGTTTCATGTTCTTGGACTACAAAAATTCGGCTTATTTCACTTAGTTTCTCATTGTTCACGCAAAAGCATAAATTGTTTAATTGCTAATTAAGAATAGGAAACGGGCAACAAACGATAAATGTAATGAATTAGAAGGCGAATCGAAGGCAGTTGACATTATTTCAGTTCTAGCGTGTGACAATTCGCATTAATTACAAGAAATGCTCCAAAAAATAAGCCATTAAAGAGGGGGGCCAGCTATATAGGCGAGTGGACGGAGGGGGGGCGGAGGGGCTCTGAAATGGCGAAATGAAAGTGCGGAGATCCCCCGACTTTCCGCATTTGGCGTGTTTTAGGCTGCTGCCGCTGTTTGCTGCTTGGACACTTGTGACATTTTCTTAATTGAAATGATGCGCGTTCGTTGATAAAATTTCGTAGCCTCCGTATATGCGAGTGTACGTACTTATACATACATTGCCGCACTTGGACACTCTCTTGCACGTTTTGCTGATGATTATTATTACTCTTCATTATTGTTCATTATTAAATGAGCGGCTAGTGTGCGTGTTTTCGCTTTTTGTGTAGGTTTTGTGGCATGTGCGGCATGCAATATCTTATTTTGGTGGCTCGGCGAAAAGTGAGCCGATCCTCGCCAGATCATCTCCAAATGGAAACGCTCAGCATATACTTAAGCGAAATAATTGGAAATAATTTTAGTGTCCAACAATTGAGGATGCGACGTATATCTTACGTATAAAACATTCTTTGGTATCCATAAAATGATAAATTAATAGTTAGAAAATTGCTTATCCAAAAAGTTTAAAATATAAAATTTATATATATATATATAAAACTTTCAGTAGGTAAGTATTAATAACTGATCTAAGTTTCAAAATATTACATATACATGTACATGTATAGGAATATATTAATAGGAATATAGTAATATAGTAATAAAAAGGAATTACTACATTAACATTTTTGTGGCTTACAATTTCATAAATTAGTACATGAATTGATTTTACTGTTGCAAACTAAATTGCTTATTTGAAAGGAAGTGGTCAACTGATTTTTAAATTTCACAAATACCTATTTCCCTTTGATTTGCCTTCTGGTTGGATGGGCGATGCATTTTCAATTGCTTTTGGCATTCGGGGAAACACACTTCCTGCATTTACACCACCCTGCCCGTTTTAGGGCAATAAAATAGCATTTTATGTTTGCACAAGTTTGCAAATTGGCCACACATCAAAAACAGAAGAGAAATCCTTTCAAGATGCCTGACCCCGCCTACCGAGCTCGCCTCATTGCCCGAACTTCAATGCCTTCACGGGACATAATTATTACTTTAATTATGCTTAATTAAAACGGCCGCCCACAGGGGGGCGTGGCCGAGGCAGCTGTCCAAAATACGCGGCACATAATTAAGCGTTTTGCTTTGCAGATTTTCTTTTTCATTTTTACGATTTGCCTACGTAAAGTGACAACGTGACGCGATCGGTGGGTATATATCATTTTTTTTGGCGGGGTTGTGGGGGAAATTGCAATTCTCCGCTGGCTTTTGGTTGTTTTGAATGAGTGTGTGCGGTGTGTGTTGGTTGCCTCCTTGTTGATTTGTCTGCAGTCGGTTTGTTGTTTTTCCGCTTCTTGTGCCGCTGCATTTTTATGCGTTCGTCATCCGTTTGTCATAAAAAAGAAACAGCAACTACAGCAACAACATTTAATTTATAATTTAATATCTAATCATTTTTCCGTCGTCGTTGATTTTCTTTTTCACAGCTATTTGTGCATTAAAAGCTGTCGCAATGCATTTGGCAGCAGACACGCGTATTTAATGGATTTCTCTGATTTGCAGAAGATGCCACTCAAAATAGTAAAAATCCTGTAGTCAATTTAATGAGGTAAATTAATTTCACAATCAAAGGAAACCAAAATTGTAAAATGGAAGTTTTAATTGAAAGAGCAAGTAATATCTATTTTTATGATAATAAATTTACCAGTAGACTACAATCTTAAACCGGAATAAAATAAAATGGTTTGAAGTCAGTCTCTAAACGCCGTCGGCATTTTAAGAAATTGTAAAATTAGCTTTTATTAATCAAAATTTATAAAATCAATGCTTTAATAATGAAAATGTATAACTGGATTGTCTCAAAATATTATAGAATTTAAAGAAGTTCTTAGGAAAACTAACAGTTACTATAAACTTAGTTTTGCATAGATCAATACTAAAAGACATTTCAAGGAAATGTAATGTAATGTTTGTTGATTTGATATTTTAATTAAGAAAATATGTTTGGAATGAAAATTTGTAATCAATAGTTATGCACACATATACACTTATTAGAACATACAGATATGTATATTTTAGAAGTAATTTTATGATATTTTTGATTTCAATCTTGTATAATATAGGAGATTTAATTTCGAACTCAAACCTTTGTAAGAGCTTGGAAAATCTTATTGTAAATGCAACTCATTAAGCTGCGATATGCACCCGCTGAATGTCATTCCAGAGTTTGGCCATTACATTTGTGTGGGCCTTAGAGCCCAGTTAATTCTCGCTAAATAATTGCCGGCGATAACGAGGCGTGTAGAACGAGTTGGGAGCAGGGAAATAGCTAACTCTGCTTGGCAACGACAATGAAACGAGCAACAAAGAGACTAAATTCTGTATTAATTTGCAATTAATGCAGCTAATTATATTTAATTAAATGAGCGAGCCACGCTAACAATGCACTGCATAGATACGTTGCTGGGATTTGGATGCAGATGAGGGGTGGTGGGATCGGCGGAATCGGTGGAATCGCTAGTATCGCTGGGATCGGGAATCGGGGCAGGGGCTTCCAAGTAGAGCTTGGGCACTGGGAAAAATGTACCGCGCAGGTTGGTCCGGCTTTGAAATGAAACTGATTATTACAATTGTTGTTACGCCAGCTGGCGCTGTTGTTAGTGCGAATTGTGCGCTGCTGCTGCTGTTTATTGTATCTCATAGATACGTTTATTTTCGAAAAAATGACACTGAGCCACGGCGAGTCAATTGTAATACGTTTTAGTCATTTTTCGTGGGGTGGCAGCAGTCGCAAGGCTTAGCACATTAAACTATTTATGTGTAGAGTTTCATTCTGATTTCGTTTTAGCGATCGTTTGATGAGCCTCATTGTTGCAAATTGCCACTGTCCACTGCCGCCGTGCCGTATTATTAGTTTGTTTATGGCTATTTATTATATTTGGTTTTATTATTAGAACGTCGCCACTATTTTTGAGTTGCTCGCAAAATTTGCTCATGCACATGCCCATGCTCATGCCGACGATAATGCTGATGTTGATAAAATTAACGTTAATTAAAGTTATTAACCGCCTGCAGCGAAATCGCATCAATTTATTGGTTTTTGCTTATTACCATGTCAGGGTTGAGATTTACATAAAAATTGCATTTGGCTGTTTCGAACAGTATTCAAGTGACTGAAGTGCGTGAGAGGCTTGATGGGTTTGATTTTTCTTACATGTTGGCGAGCACTTCACTTAAATGGTTTTTGTTTTTAACAAAACTCATTATAATATAGAATTTGGGGTTAAGTAGCTAGCCAAAAAATTAAGTTGGTTAAGTATTATATTTGACACTTAAATAACCGGGTCTACACCATGAGTTTTGAAAGTATTAAATCTAGGTCCGCTTTATTTGAATCCAAGAAAATGAAGCCTCCAAAAAAAGGATAAATATAATTGAAATAAAAATAAACTTCTTATCATCCATCATATACATATTATGTAACAAAAATGATCCAAATTAAACATATTATTATGCGTTTAATTAAGTTAACTATTCTACATGAATCAAAACCTCTGAACGTTCTATATAAAAAAGATCACTTCAATTAACCTTTCTTGAAATCCTTCTTTAATGCTCCAAAGTTCACTCTTATTTCACATAGATTATATGAAATAACTTTAAAAAAGTAAACAGTGCTCTTAATTATTCGGTAATTTTATAAAAATTCAAAAATGACTATTATTTGGAAGACAAAACACTTGGTGCCCAAAGAACAATAGACTTAAAGTAAAGATATGGCAATAGATAGTTAATGGCTCTTAGTAATGGAAATTCAACATTTTTGACGTCAAATTCTTTAAATTGTAATCCAATTGGGAAATAAGTATGCTACGAATTTGTTTTACATTTAAATACATAGTTATCTTTTCAATATCGAGAACGAAACTCCAACAAATACCTAAGGTTATTTACCGTTATTTTTTGTGTTTTTCAAGCAGCTGCCAATATCGACGAAACTCTGTTTTTCTTCTGTTGAGATGATTTTCTTGAATCCTGTTTGGTTTTTACGTGTACTTTTCTTTGAAATTCTTATCACAAACTAGCACTGTATTCAAAGTATTTATGAGTATCTATGAGTAACAATGAGTATCTAATAGATAGTTATCACTCACGCACGATCGCAACGCGCCAAAAATCCCGAGCTGGGCTTTTCTTTTTCGAAAATCGCCGGACACCAATGAAACTACCAAATGGTTCAAAAGTTGCAGTGATAATGAGATATCTTGGGCACACGCCGAAGTTTGTTGGCCTGCTTTGTGTGGTTGCACTTTGTTTGTTTGTTTGTTGCACGAGTAGAATTAGAATCGAATCGCTTGAGATATGGCCGTTCGATTCCGGTTCAGATCAGCCGTCGTACGTTCAGGCGCAGCGTCGCTCGTCGACTGAATGAACGTGTGGCGCACGAGCGGCGCTTTGGACCCCCAGCAATCATCAGCATAAGTAGCAGGGGAGCAACAACAACGCGACGGCGGCAAACACGAGCAAACAAAACGAAGGCGCAAAAACCGAAGCCGCAGCACCAGCTCACTGGGTGGAAGCGAGAGGGCAATAGAGGAGAGCCTGCGCTCTCTCTCTCTCTTACTCACTCACTCACTCACTTACTCTCCCCCGCCGACGTTGCAGCGAGGTCGACGTTGGCAGAGCGCCGACTGCGCAGGAGCAGCAACAGTATATGCAATTTGCTTGGCGCTGTTAAAATAAAAATAATGACGTCATTAAGCGCACAAATGAGCGACGCTGCTGCCTGCAGTCGACGCCGACTGCGACGCCGGCGGCGGCTGTGGCAGAGCTTATAACTGTTGTTCTGAGGAGGAGAGTTGCACACACACTTGACGAAAGGCGAGCACTTAACGACAGCGAGAGAGTGAGCAAGAGCGAGTAATCGAGAGAGAGGGGAAGCGAGTGTGGGTGAGACGCGGTGTGAGCGCTTTTTGTGAGCGCTATTTTGAGCACTTATTACAATCAAATATTGCCCATTTTACACTTCCCCTTATAACACATTAACTACTTTTTGAGATCTTTGTCTGCCAATAAACCTACATTGCGGATGAGTTATTTTAGAGATCACAATTTCAAACATTAGTAACGTATTAATAGTAGTATTTTAATATCCTTACCGATTTTTTTCGTAAATCAAATCGCAGTAATAAAACTTCTTAACAACGGGGCTTTAGTAAACTTCGTGAAAATGCATTTTATTTGTGTGCTAATTAAAAATCTTACTTATTATTTATTTAAGTCTAATAAAAATCGGGTTTCTTTACTCTTTTTAAACCCGTTACTCGTAGAGTAAAAGGGTATATTGTATTCGTGCAAAAGTATGTAACAGGTAGAAGGAAGCGTTTCCGACCCTATAAAGTATATATATTCTTGTTCAGGATCACTAGCCGAGTCGATCTAGCCATGTCCGTCTGTCCGTCTGTCTGTCCGTATAAACGCTGAGATCTCGGAAACTATAAAAGCTAGAGGATTGGCATTTTGCATGTAGATTTTAGGAGTTCCTACGCAGCGCAAGTTTGTTTTAAAATGGTGCCACGCCCCCTCTGACGCCCACAAGCCACAAGCTGTGGCCACAGTTTTAATGCTATTATGAAAATTTTAATTGATATGTATTTGTTTCGTCAATACCTATCGATAATAAAAGTTTGCCACGCCCACACTAACGCCCAAAACCCCATTAAACGCTTAAGCCTGGCTAGCGCCTACATTTCCGCCTTTCATGGCGCCATCTAACGGATGACTTTGGAACAGCTGGCCAAGGTGCTCAACAGAGTCAACGTTAATTCTCGATAAGGATTTCTATTAAAGGAAAGCTGAGTAACGGGTATCTAATAGTCGAGGCACTCGACTATAGCGTTCTCTCTTGTTTGATAATGAAATCCTCCATTTAATAAAAACATGAAAGTTTGGTTTTCTAGTGCCGTTGGACTCCCTGACTATGAAAATAATTTTGATCTCCAGCTCTGGTAAACCGATTTCGGTCATTAATGTCTCCATAAAAAAGTGTAATTTTTTAATGCGGGAGTTTAATTACACAGGAATACCAAACTTTCTGCTTTGTCGACTTCATTTGGTAAGCTAGTGCTATTAGATATTTTTATAAATTTTGATTTTATGAATATGTTCGATTATTTTAATGAAAGGAAAACTATTTCCCAAAGTAAAAACCATTTATTAAATATATTTAAAAATGTTGTTTTGATAAATATACTTTTTATTTAAATATATTCAATAAATGGGCAATTAAAGTAATAATTAATTTTTTTTAATAAACTTCAAGTTTCATTAGCCTTAAGAAGCCTTACTTAAAACTAGTATGCTTTGCCAAGTTTTTAAGTTTTGAATTGTTTCACAACTTATACGGTAATGTTTCTTTATAACACCTAATTAAGCCGAATAATTTGGTAAATAAGACTGGACTATTATACGAAACAGTCGACTTTGAAAAAATGAAACCGAGTGTCCGTCCTCCGTTTCCTCCGGCTTCACCCCTCGACAACTATTGCTGGGAATTAATAATTTATGTTTCGATCCGCAGAGCCAATGCCAAAACTTCAGCCACTCAGCTCGTCGGCCAAAACCTCACTCGAAACCCAGAACGCTCTCGCTCCCTCTCTAACTCTCCTCTCTTCCGTCCTGCCACCCACAATGTGACGTGTGCCTGGTCCACTGAAACACACCCCCTCCTTGCCCCTCTTGCATCTGCTCGAACCGCTTCCAGAAAACCGAAAAGTGCCAATAAATATGGAAACGTTTTGCCTTGTTCTGCCCACTCTTCCTCCCACTCTGCCACCCACTTCCTCTTCTCTCCCTTTTTGCCACGTCTTCTGCTCCTTCTTCGACTCTCTTTTCTCTCCACTGAGGGAAAATTCAACATAATGATTATTTAAATTATAGATCGCTTAATTGTCAGCTGAATATATAAAAAAAGATTGCAAAAAAGTTAGTATTGTTAAACAACAAAAAGTATTTATTTTTCACCATTATATTTTGTAAGGATTATTCTTTTTTTAGATGCTCTTTAATTGTGACAATAATTTTTCTTCTTCCTATTATTCTATTACTTTAAGTTAAAATTAAAAACAGACTCACACAATTTATAAGCTTTACTTATTTAAAGAGTATCAATGTGGGTTTGAGAGATCTGGTTTTTTTTCAATGTAATCATTTTTCAGCTTAATTTTTTTTATTAATTTGCTTAGCTTTAAAACTCCATATTTGTTCCATATTAAATAGTCTCATTACATAAAAAAATATTTGACCAAAAGTAAATAATATAAGAACAAGGATAGGTTTATCAAAAGTTTTTCCCGGTGTATCCTTGCTCCTTGGCTACCTTTGCACTAATTCACATTTGATGTTTTGTTGTCTGCGCTTGTTGCTGTTGCCGCTTGCATTTTTCTGGTCAATGAGGTTACAGTCAAGTCACTAGACAAGTCCCCCTCCTTTTCGGTGGGACGGAGGGGGGCGGAAGATGCAGCAGCGACTGGTGCGGTCTTCAACCGGTCGCCGTCGGTCAGTCGAGGCTGCCGAACAGGCTGCCTCTGCTGATTTTGCTGCCGCTGTTGTCCAGTCTAGCCACCCACCCGCCTCGACTATCGGAGGTGTCGATGACGTCGTAGTCGTCGTCGTCTGGCTGCCCCCTCCCAGTCCCCCAAGGCCCCCAAAGCTCGGTGAAGTATCTGGCTCTGCCTCCCGCAAAAACCGAATCTGACTGCAACTGCCTACGCCATTTGATGATTTTGTTGTTGCTCCTCCTAATGTGATTTGCTAGGGTATGCACTTAGGCCTATTCGGTTGGCGATTACCCAGATTCCACAGCCAAAATCAGACTGATGAGTGAAAGGAGAGTGTATAGAGCTGGACTAGATCAGTATTTGATCAGATCAATACAATATACTAAATATTGTATTGATAAAAAGATAAAAAGTAAGTTATTTCGTAAATAATATTTAATGATAAGGTGATAGCTTAACTAGGAATCCATGACCAAACGTTTGTGAGACTTAAATTAAGTCCATTAAAAAATTACAAAAATGGAATGCGCAGAACTTAAGCTTCGACCGCTACAGCCAGTCCATGCTTTGGCCTTTAATGCTTTTTACGAGTGCATGGCGCAATGCAAAGTCATATAAAATATTGAGTTTTTTTTCAAAGAGGTAAAATATGTAATTATCAGAATTTAATTATAAAAACTAAAATAAATCATGTACATAGGTAAGCAATATATACGCTAATTCAATATACTTGTTCGACAGTCCCAAAGATTATCCTGGATTTGTAGGTTTTGGGAATTTGTTGTTTTCAAAAGAGTATTCCCGATTCGCACATCTTGAAAAATCAATTTGGCCATCGTTCATTCTAGTGGTGGCTGATTTTGTTTTTAGCCCATTTTGGTCAATATTTAAGTGCCGGCCGATGCTTCCACTTCACTTCTCTGTCGTTCTATGTGTACGTCTGGTCCACATCACCTCATCAACTTAATTTTCCGAATTTTCACTATTTCCGTCTCGCTCATTCCCTCGCTCCGTCTTTGTCTTTTATGTCTAATTTTGTGCTGCATTTTACCGGCAGCTATAAAAGCGTATTACCGTTAAATGTTGCACTGTCGAGATGTCGTCTAATTTACGTTACCCGTCGGCCGAGAGGGAAACTGGGTGGTGGGAAATGGCGGTGGGCGGTGGGTTGTGACTGGGGCTGTGGTCGAGGATGCGGATGCAGTGGGGCCACTGCCCACTTTCCATCCTGGCTTGATTGTCATTGCAGCTCGCCGGTCTGGCCGGCAAACTGATTAAATTCAGCACGCGCCCTGCGGGCATCTTGGGAAACTTCTTCAACGGCAAGACGAGAGGCTCGAAAAGGGGTCTGAAGGGGGATTTGGGGGGTAGGATGCACACAAAAAAGTTTATCTATCTTTTAAGTGTATATTCAGTTAAGATTATACGTATTTTTGTAAGCAATGGCAATTGTTATACAGCTTTAGCGAAAAAGGTTCAGTTAATTGTATATGAATTAAGATATAATATCTTAATTTAAAAAAAGCCACCAATTATCTTACAAACCCATGCTTAGTTTGATCATCTAAAACCCTTTGTAAATTAAATAATTTAAAAGTTTGTTACGATAAAATTATAAAATAAAATGTTTTTCCTGTGTATAAATAAAAGGAGTTTGTGTGGAGAGGGTGGTGGTAACTCAAAGTCATCAGCTTAGACGGGCCAGAAACTAGACGCTCTACATAAATTTGAAATTAACGTTTTCTAGCACATTGTCCGTATACCTCTCTCTTTCTCTGCCATCTCTCTGTCTCGCTCTGCACCGTCCCTCTCTCTCTGTCTCTCTTTATAGAGCTTACATGCTTTCTGTAA